GTCTCAAAGCCGGAGAACGCCTGGGAGGCCTTTTCTCCCAGGGCTTTGCAAACAAGGTCTCTGTGGTGATGCTGTGTGCAAAACAGAAAGCAGAGGTAAGTTATGGGGTGTGGACCACCTGGCTTTGCTGAAAGGTTGGCTTCCAAACGGCACCACAGAGGGTGGGCGAGATTCTCCTCTCGCCTGCACAAACATCCCAGAGGGTATGTGCAAAGCATTGAGGTTAGCCTTGTGCCTTCAAGTCGTCCAAGATATCCAGCATCTCTCCTGCACTCATTAGGAAAATTCTCACTTTTGTTATTCTTCCTCACCATGCTTTACTCACTCTCTTCACAGAGCAGGTAGATGCATGAACGCTCCCCAGCTATGGATGATCAAAACCCATAGCCAAGCTGGGGTTGCCCTACAATATTGAAAACCTATTGCTTGTTATGGGATGCAAGAGCCATCAGCCAGCTATCTATGTACACCACTGAGGTGCAAGGTAAATGTGGATCAGCTGTATCTTAGCATTCCTGTGATTTCATATGATCTTCCCACTCTCACCCAAAGACACCCAAAGAACATGCCCTTTCTGGGCAGCACATCCCATGACAGTCCCCAGGGAGATCCTGACCTGTGTGCTGTGTGTCACCGCAAAGTACATGGAAGATCAGGTACCCACCTTTGCCCTCGTGCTGCTGGCAGAGCCACATGGATGCCTCTCCAGAGTTACAGCGATGTTGTAGACAAGAGGGAGAAGGGAGACTAAGACAGGGGTCGGGGAAGCTGGAATTTGATCAAACATAAGGGCTCCTGGGGCTGGTAGCACTTAACTGGAACCATCTTCTTTTTCTGGTTCAGCTCCACCTCAGAGGGACAGGAGACAGTCATCCCCAAAGGGCAGCACGGAGGCAGTAACCACACGAGCATTTAGGAACGGATTATCCAAATCACGACAAGTGCTGACCTCTGGTTAAACACACACATCCCCACCACACACAGTCTATGCAGTCTTTTACCTGCAGGATGAGACAGATTCAGGACTAAACATCCCTTCAGATTCCCATCACCTAGAGTTCGCAAGTGTTGGGCTTTGGCCCTTTTCAGAGTCCCTGACAGGGATTCCTCTTATTTGGGCCAAAGGAGCACATGCTGTGCTGAACTGTACCCCAGCATCATCACCGGTTACGGGAAGAACAGGAGGAGAAGGCTTGGGGGACAGCTATATCCTTGGCTGCCTTTTATACACCCACCCCCCACCCTCATCTGAAAGCTTACCATCATTAAAAAACCCCAACAAACAGACCCTTCCTCTTCTCACATTTGGGTTTTTATAGCTCAGCTGAGGTACACAACTCTAGTATAACAAACATGGTCCCCCTCACAGCAGAACACCCCCACTGCTCTCTGCCATAGCTTGCATGGCTTCCCTTCTCCATCACAGCCAAAGCTTTTCTCTGCTCACCCTACGCATTTTAGTCTGGATACCAGTCATCCCCTCTAAGGTGATTAGGTAGGTGATTTTTCACGTTTTTCCCCTGCAACAGGAAAGAGAAGTAACTTTTAATGCAGAAAAGATAAGTACCTCACCAAGTCTACGCAGCTGAACACTTATGCTTTAGGTGATTTCCTGACCCAGCTGGAGGGCTGCATAACTGCTCTGTGACACGGCGTGTGTCCACACAGTAGCATCCAGGCCAGGCATTAAGAAACCACACACTCAAACGGGATGTGAATTACGGGCATGGGCTGGGGGCGGTTGTTCTTCTTATGACTACCATAAGCCACGATAAGAGACCATCTTTCCATGACAGTCCACGCAGTATCTGCTTTCATCTGTACCTGTTATGCAGAGCAGTGCCTTAAAGACCACAGCAGCAAGCCAACGCTAACAGATGTGACCAGAAGACTTCTCTGAAAGGTCCCAAAGCACTTCAGTGTCTGGCAGCCACTTGTTCACAGCAAACCTTTGTAGTGCGTATAAATATCCGTACTAAGCACTTAAACCCTGTGAAACAGAGTCAGCAGTATGGCAGAAGGAAAACCATTTCAGTCTGAACAAGACTTCAACACATGCCACAACCAGTGATACACTGGCAGAAGCTCCCTGAGCCTAGATGGAGGCAGGCTTATTTGTTCCAGCATATGTAGCTTCTCTTTTAGGTCTAAAAACTAGCCTTTAGGCTTAGTTTTAGGCTAATTACCATATTCTGTTCATCTTCTAGAATGACAGGAGACAGAATAGGGAATACGACCTGCCAGACTGCACACACATGCCTGGGAGGTTACTGAATGCCCACAGTCACAGACGCTGTTCTCTCCAAAACAGCTGTTATTCTTCAGATCAGATTAGCAGGGGGTCCTGCACAGAGCACAAAAGGAAGCTTAGCACTCAAGCAGTTCTGCATCCACACCCATCACATCCTACTTCAGGGACAGACCAAAGCAAGATGGAAGACAACTCAGAACAGGACAGAGCTTTTTACCAGAGAAAACAAGCAAGTAAAATGAGCTTAAGAAGTTCAATATAACCCAGTTAGCAATGGTGTTCCCCAGCCAACTACACTGTTTCAGAAGTGGGATGTGCAGATTTCTGGCCAGAGTCCTGAAGTGAACTTTTTATCTGTCAACATACCACGTTGACAGAAAGCCTAAGTAGATTCCTTCTGCCTCCCCCTGAAATCCAGAGCCTTCCAACCAGAGATTGCAGGTTTGGCTCGTCATCAGTTCTTCTTCACATCTGTGAGGCTGTCATATGTTGAGTGTTAGGAAATAAGGAGTTTTTCCTTATAACAGAAGTTTATGTTGTGCTGAGAGATTTTACTAAGAAAACCAGAGGTCAACAATAAAATATTCTGAACAGCCAGCCAAGAACCACAACATTCATGGCAAGCAAAGGAGCACTGTGAGAGATTAGAGAGCAACTATCAAGCTATGCTGTGCTAGGTTATTAAAGCTTTCAGGGAAAAAAAAATTTTGCAATTCCTATAGCTACCTGCTGTAACTGTTCACACAAAGCTTACTTACAGGACTAGATGCTCCTCTCATTTCAGCATCATTAACAACTGGAGCTCAACAAGTCTCTGCCTGGGCAATCCAAGACACCTCTCTCCAACCAGATGTGTATGTTTAACAGAAAAATTAACACTTTAGTGAATATATGTACTTATGTGCTGCATCTAAATGACTAAACAAAGCAATAACCATTAAGTTCATAATTCCTCACATGCAAAATTCAGGGGCACGCAATCATATGCTGTTAAGTCACATTGCTTTATTACCAATACACTAAACTGATGACATGCTACACCCAACACGTATACCCCTTCTGTTCCACAAGTCTCTCTAGGAGGACAGCAGGAGCATTGCTTCTAATCCTGCCTGACAGTTGTTTCAAGCATTACCTCACGCTAGCTCATTCAGTCGTTGCACAACATCAGGCAATGGCGAAGTACAAAGGAAACCAATACTTATCATATGACAACCATGACTGCAACTGGATGCTTCAGTGCAACTGAAATTTCTCTCACTTTCTCAAGCCAGTCCCCTATGTTGGTATATTAACAACTGCCCAAGCTAGTCTTCAAGCAATAACTTAGGGTTGTAAAGCCATTACCATTTTGGTTTTACCTTCACCTGCAGTCATCCATATCCCCACGAAGTCATGCCCGTACCACAGATGGCCAGCAAGAGACATGAAGTCAATCCACCTTGCACAGCAACATTTTGATACAAGCCTGGTACTAACAGCAAGTTTCTACATTTCTGAAACATCTGCCTATTTCTTCATAACTTTGCTCTTTTTTTTAGCAATTAACTGTCATTTACTCTGAATTATAATTCAGAAATGGGATTTCCTTTCTATTGTGGACAACACTGTCCTCCACCTGTTGGCTTGTGGCCATTACACACACACACTAACAAAGCAAAAAGGCAAAGGAGAATCTGAATCTTTGTATTCGAAGGGCATGATTATGCCCAGCCTGTCTGAAGGGCAAGACAAAACCCTGCTCCAGCCTACAAAAGTAGATCAAGATTTGCTTGTAAGCCAGCCTACTGATTCAATAGGTGTTGAGCTCTGCCAGATCAAGCATTCCTATGGTAAAAACGCAGCATTTCATCAGCAGAGATGCCTGCTTTTAGAATCAAGGAATTGTCAAAACTGTTGAAGGTCTTGGAAGGCTTCAGATTTTTTTAACTGCTTGCATCAAAAAATAGATAGTACCCCCCCAAGAGAGAAGTTAACATCACAGGGAAGGCTTCTCATAAGTGTGTAATACTGAGATCACAGTTGCCATTGGCCTGAACCATGCAGCCTGCCTGCTCCCAGGATATATTACAGTTGCAGCACACAAAGTAAGCCTTCTACTGAAGCTGGAAAGGTTTAACAGTTCCGTGTCACATGCTGGAGCCTTAAATAAAACACTGTCCAAAACCATGATGTATTTTCTACAGAAAAAGGGCAACAAAGCAACAGGCCCTCAATAAGTGAAAAACTACAGGCCCACTGCTGCTCCCTAAAACCAAGCACTGAAATACCTAGTAAGGACACAAAGTAGAGAATCACTTTATGGAAAGAACATTTATTTTTGTTTCAAAACTTGTGATCCATAGAAATACAATAAAATCAACATGTACACAAAACTTTAAAAAACCCCCTTTGGTTCAAAGAAATATTTAACATCTAAATCTTCTGAGGTACAAAAGGCACAAGACCAGGCACCCAAACATACTGAATCGCCCACAGCACTGTTTGCACCACTGGTACAGAGGAAGCTGGGGGGGTGGAAGGCAGGTTAGAGGAGGATGGCAGGGGGAACATGGAAATAACAGCAACCAAAACACAAGTATGTGTACAATGCCATTTACTTTCTTTCACAGGTGTTACATAGTTTGTCATCTTTTTTTTGGTAAAGTGCCAGGACTCTTGGAGAAAAAAAGATGGATCATTTCTTAGAAATGAACTGGAACAAATGGTAGAAAAGGAGACAGAAATAAAGGCCTGCAGCAGGTTGGTTTCAGTCAACCTCTGTTCTCCCACAAGGTCTTAAGAATTCATTTCCTCTTTCGTGAAACCATTTGTTTGAAACTGTGGAAAAAGGATATGAAATCAGTTACCACCACATACCCAGTGCGCATATCACCACAACCCAGATGGTTACTTCAAGTAAAATCTCATATCTCAGTCTGAGGATCCCTGCTTATACTTCTCTACCCATCCAATGGGAAAGACACAGGAAGATGCAAAGGGCTGGGGAAGAAAGGATCTTTCCAATTGCACAATTCTGGGGCCAGCAGTAACAGAGCAGTGTATTCTAGGTCTGGTATCATTTATGCCCTGGCACTCCAGGGGAATACCTTGGAGGCTGGTGGAGGTGGGTATGGGAATGGATGACGTGAAGCTTGAGAAGCTTCCAGCAGTTAGTAGAAATTCCCAGTCTCCAGACATTCACATTTACCCTACCAGGAGCTCTCCTTCTCTCGCAGTTAGAACTCTGCACAACTCTTTGTAGGAACAGACCTGATTCTAGCCAAGTAATAATTCAAGTCATCCTCATGCCAATACACTACACAAACCCAGCGACATTCTTACACATTTTGTGCCATTGTTGACACAAACACTCACTGAAAAAGCTACAGTTGAACAATGCAGCTGCTCAATACTACATGATATCAATGGTGGGAGTTTTCATGATGGCCAAACAATTCCAGTAGTTAAAATGGCAACACCCAGGTTATTAAACACTGTTAAAAGGGTTCATTGCATCACCAGCTTTGCATACACATGAGCCTTCCTTTAGGTTTTGTTCCTAAAGGAGTATTACTTACCCCATTTACACCCTACTAGTACTGGACAGGCTGCATGCCTTGTTCTATAATCACCCTCGCCGCTTCTGAAAAGATTGTACCAGAACACTGCTGTTCCCTGAAAAGTGAAATCAGATCAGGATTAGTCACAACCTAGTCAATATAATTATTCAGGTTACAGTAAGGGGGGGGAAATGCCTATGAAATCAGCTGCAGGCTCTTATGAGGCACGTAAATATAGGCCACCACTGACAGCACATGAAAAAACCCCTTAGTCCCACTCTTAATTCAGCCACATTCAGAGTAGAGAAGGGTTCTACCTGAACACAAGGGGTTTTTGTTAACAACAGCTCTACACAGACACTGTTCACTTTATACACTGTAAAACAAAGGAAGCAGCCTCCCAGATCAGCTACAGCTGCCTTGATACACAGCAGCCCATGGATCGAGTTGCAGTGAACAGCACTGTCACATTAGCTGACTTTTAAATGGATGCAGGACTGTACTAGGGGAGAGAGAGTAACAGGAGAGGAGAAATAAAGTAAAATACAAACAGACTTTACCTTCTTGGGCCATATTGCTGCCCCAAAATCAGGGAAAACTGTAGCTCCTCCAGCTTCTACATCACTCATCTGAGAAAACAAAGTCCACAAACTCTGTCCATTTACAATGCTTTTTGTACATGCAGTCCCACAAACTAAAGTGTCCCAAGCCCTAACAAAGACAAATTTCTACACTTGCACCTCGACGAGGGGCACTGATGAGGAAAGGATGCACTTCAACCAGCACGAAGTGCAGAAGTAACAGTACCTGCTACTGAAGGCTGTTATTTCAGCTGAAGGCTTTTGTTCAGCACTTCGCCCAGATTATATATAACCTATTGCACAAACGATTAGCCCGAAGGAGGTGTGTACCTGCAGTGTTAACAAGCAAGTACTCTAGAACGAGGGAGAGGACTTCAGAGTCAGTTTCAAGAATTTCATTCCAGTTTATGATCCAATTAGGAAAACAAAAAACTGTCTGTTAAACCACACGTTTCCTCATAAATTGAAACCATGTCTTTGGAACTGACTTTCATAATTTAGTTTATGCATCTTGGTCAACCACTTCAAAAACTATACAAACTGTTAGAAAACCTCCCTTTCTGCACTGTTTCTATGCTGTCCTCCCGTGATGTTATGCCACTTCAGGAGCGTTATGCAGCTCAAGCTTTAATACATACAGCTATTTGACTCAAAAGAAAAGCATCTATACACCTATACATCTATCTATGCTTTGCCCTTCTACGCTGGAATGAATTTAACCCTGTTGAATTCATCACTAGTGATGGATTCACTATAAATCCTAGATTTGATCCGAAACCCACCGAAGCTCCTGGAAACTCTCCCATTAAAAACAGAAAGTCTTTCCACTGATTTCAGTGAGTTTTTGGATCAGATTCTAATTAAAAGAAACAAATGAGTCAGATCCAGCTCCCACCAAATTTAAGCAGAACTACTATTAATGCACTCCCCAAGTCCCCACATTCTCTACTGTAACTTGGATTTCTGTTTAAAGCAGATGTTATTACCACTCTGGTGTCCTCCTGCTTGGTACCTACAATAAAAGGGCATAAGATGCCATGGGTGCACAGGTTTTTGCCCCCTCCACCTAGAAAGCATGTGCATGCAACTTTGCAAGTTAATACCTACATCTTAGCAACACAACCACTCTTTTTAGTAAGGGTGTTGGTACATGTATGATGTGTTCTACATGGGGCATACAAGGGTAAATGGCCTTTGACCATGTATAACTGGCAGAGAATGAGGTGCACATCATTCACTCTAAATCAAGACTTGTCCAAAAGTCTGAGAAGCAAAATACAGATAGAGACAATTGAAAATTAAAGCCTCTTTGCAGCAGACTATTCCACAGCTACTTATCTTATTCCAATTCTTGTTTCAGAGATTATTTCCTCCCCTGCCATATCAAGTTGAAAGGATCTCTGGTTCTGTTTTCATCTGCGTTCCACCCTCAAAGTACCAGCTCAGCCATAAATATTTCATCACAGGACTTCAAATTTGAAGTTGCATCAGTCAAAAGTTAGACACAGTAGGTCCTAATAACTGATATAGTAAGTATAGGTTGACAGACAAAATATTGTCAGGAGACTACTGTGAAAACATTAGGCCACCAGTATCCGTGGCAGTTACATTTATGATTCCAGTGTACATGGTCTGTAGGCCGTATAAAGCATGCAACCAATGAATCTTTTTAATTCTGCATTTGTAACCCAGTTGCACCGAGTTTATAGCTATGTCTCCTCCATTTGCTGAAGTGACAGCTATGCCAAAGTAACTCTAGCTTTGACAAACAGCTAAAATGGAGGCTGACAGACCACAACATCAAGTGCTGTCAAACAGTGGTAGAAGAACATGACTGTCTCTCAAGAGTCAAGTTCTCAAACAGCATACCCCGTGAGTAGTACCCTGAGCACCCACCTTTGAGAAATAAGCCGAATTCTCCTCTCCCACCAACAGGAATCCAATGAAGTCAAAGATTTTATAGTAGAATGGCCAAAAGGGGATGCTGGGCCCTATATTAAATTTTTCTGCTCTGAGGTTAAATAACACCATAATTCTATCAATCCAGATGGGACAGCACCTGATGCTGCAAAAATAATGAAATCCCTACTTCCAGATGCCAGGAAATCTCTACAAATAACCAACTGCACAAGCTGTAAACAAGATGCTGCTAAAGTTACACTCAATGCATAAAGGATCATCATACTTACATAGTTTAAAAAAGTGGCCACACGATTTCCAGTCCCTAACCGCTTGAAAGCATCTGGCTCATCTTTCTATAAAATTAAATGAGAATAACTGCAAACTTCAAGCTCACAGACAGCAGACAAACAGAGGTACTTACATAGTTAAGAAACGTCGCTAGCCTATTTCCTTCCGATTTGAGTGTGCTGTCAAAGGGTCGCTGTAACAGACAACAACTTTAACCTGAGTTCCAAACAGGCTCACACTAGTGTTACATATGTGTAGCTCTGCAGAGATATCCTTAAGCCCAGTTTAAAGAGTTGGAATAAAAAGGGGACAATTGCTACAGGGCAACATTAAAGCCATTACAAATTACAGCCAGGGTGCATAAATACATGCACATAGCACTCAGATGCTGCAAGGAAAAGTAGCACTGAAGCAATTCTTAGGGCAAAGTAGAAGCAATGTTTTCAGGGCCTGTGGCACAGATGTTACCCACGTAGAGTTGAAGTTAACAGGCCATCACTGTATTGGACACTGATCCAAAGTCAACAGCTGAGGTGAATATGAAAAAAGTCATCTTCAGTGGGCTTTAGGTAACTCACTAGATTCTCGTGAACGTAGTAGTGACTCTAAGAAATACCGTAAGATAAAATGCATTTTTTGCCAGCAGGCAAAATTGCAGAGTAACAATAATGAACTTTTCAGGTGGTTGCCTGTCTAGGATTAAGGACCACATCAAAAAGATCAAGTTGTCTTTACTCTGTAGGAAACACTGAGTTTCATTTGTTGAAGTATGAGATCACGTTGGCGCCAGTTTAAAAGCAGAAAGAACATCTAGAATACCAATGTCTCTCTCCTCCCTTCAAAAAATGCAATTAAAAGTTTATTTACATAGCTACTAGTCAAGAAGGAATTTCAGCCAGGAGACATTAAGGTGCACTCTTCTACACAAAACCAATCATCTTCAACATTTAAAGAAAAGCAGAAATCAGCATTGGAAAAAACAAACAGCAAGGAAAACCACAGCCTAAGATGTTAGAGTTCAGTCTATTTAAAGCATATTTCAAGAAATAAAAGGTCTTTCCTGAAACAGATTGATAAAGAGACTTTTGCATCTACATATGCAAATTCCATCTAAAAGCCAACATATGAGCACTGAGATATAGGTGATTCCCTGCTTTCTGCCACGGCTGCCAAACCCAGGTCCAGCCATGCATTTCTGAACTTCAATATCAAAAGATTTCTCTAACTCTTGAGCAACCAATAAAATCTCAAAATTGTAATATGCAACTATTTATGTGTCCCTATTTGAGAACTGCAAGAGTACAAAAAGCTGCAAGGCAGATCAGGAGATGGAGACACAGCAGTATCTCTGTGTTTCAGTACAGAAATCTGATGCACAGAGAGCCTGGAGGACCAGTCCAAAACCATGGCAAATTCTGCAATTGCCTTGCCTTAACTGATGACTGCAGCCAAGGATGTGTTCCAAGTGGACCTCTGCCCCAGCTGCCTAATCCAAAAGCAAAGTCCACACTGACCAATTTGATGGCTGATGTCCTCGAGTTCAAAGGCTTTGAAAAGAATTTAAGAGCATTTGCTTGACTCAGGAAACAAAGCAGTCCTAAAGTTAACAGGAAAATTCTCTCAACCAGCCAAAGCTAACGAATATGAGCTTCCACAGTGTTGAAGTTGAGGATTTTTTAATTTTTTTTTTTTTAAACAGTGCTCAGTTGGGTGGCTTCAATTCTGCACTCAATTATTGGGTTGTGCTCTGGCTGCAGCAATCCCTTCTACCAGGTAAAACCGCTGGGACAGCCCAAGTTAAGCCAGATTCCATAGAAATGCCACGGTTCTACTGGAAACCAAGGCATCAGAGGAATTTTATATTTGAAATTACCAGTCACCATAGCTCTTCAGTATGATCAGCGTGTTCATAAACTGTTTTAGGGTGACAATTAAGAACTTCTGTTCTTCTCCCCACTTGCAGCAAACCAGAGCTGTTATCTGCCAGGTAGAGCCCTCTAGTGCCTACTGCAGATCTGGCACTATCAAGCTGCAAGTTCTGCTCACTGTAGCACTGCCCTCAAACCCAACAAACCCTCTCGGACCCTATCATTGCAGCCACAATAAGGGTTTTGCCAGAAGGACTATGACATATGAAGATTTCCGTAATGGCTATACTTTCCTGAAGGGAGGTGGGAGAATGTCTCCTCCTCAGCCAGCTCCTACAAAGTTCTTTAAAACACCCACCAAAGGAGAACTCAAGACAACCTTGCTGAACTCTGAAGCCTAATGGAACAATGCAGAATCACAACCCACAGCTTGCAGACCTGTTCCCAAACAAATAATGGAAAGAGCATATGAGTGCTGCAGGTCTATCTTTTAGTGTCTCTATATTGTGCAAGGAACCAAGGTGACAGAGACAAGCAGGCAAGATTTTTTCATTTTTCTCTTGAACTTTCAGCATCAGAAACACAGTGCAAAGGCTTTTCAAAAGTCATAATCCATCCATGCAACAGCACAATATATTAAGTGTTTTAACAGAAAACAGTTTCAACAGCTTTCTCTCAAAACAAACTGCTTCCCCCTCCCCACCCCACTAAGAAATAACTGTAAGTATGATCTTACCCTAGAAAAATCGAAGTGTGGCTCATACTGCCCTCCCATTCCATAGTTGGCAACCTACAGCATGGAAGAAGGAAGAATCAACATCCACTGAACTGCTAGTGACTGCTGCAGAAGATAGCATTTGCTCTCAGAGATCCAAACCATGCTTTGAGAAACAGCACTTTGCAGCAAGACTTATCTACAGCACACTTAATTTCTCTTTAGATTGCCAGC